CAGTGCGCGAGCGTTGTTCGCGTGACAGCGAGCCAAGCGTACTCTCGTGTCCGTGGTTTCCTCGCCTGACAGCCGTGACCTTCGAACGTTTATCGGTCGAAAACTTCCTTCGCGATTTCGCCTCAGTTTTCGGCTCCCGAGTCCGACGTTCCGCTTCGTACGCAGTGACCTCTGTTTCCCAACCTATCCATGGATCCAGCCGAAAGACAAGTGGAAATAATGGACGATGATGGAAGACGGATAGAATGGAACTGAGCAGCGTATTTCTCTCAGGTATGACTCGAGTTAGACGAACAGTGGGTGATAGAGAAATTTGAAATATCCACGCGTTTCCGATAACGGAGAGGTCTCGATAGCGGTTTTACGCTACCGTCTCTCATCCCTCGATATAGCAGGTATAATTTTAGTACGCTGGATGCTGAAGGGCACAGCGAGAGAAAGGCAGTTGTTCGGTAGGAACTACCAAAGACTAGACGGTAAGATCCACCGTGTAATACTCTAGTTCATTGTTAACCATTACCAGTCGAAACTTACGCTTTCCCCAAACTTATGCAAGCCTTCGATCTACTTGGCGTCTCGAGCGAATTCGTGTCAGTCGCTGATAATAGCAATAAATAGCCCCAGCAACGATTTGGCCTCGTAAAATTTTAGAAAGTGCTCCGGTCCGCATAACTTCCGGCCTCGTGAACTAATCTTCTCCGTTTTCTGGTAGTTCGACGTGGTGGTGAGGTAGGTCGGCATAGTTTCCAGTTGATGCCGCCTTTCTATTCCAACGACTCACCAGGGAACAAGGAAGCATAACGCGCTGGTTGCCGCGACGCCAGACGCCGCCGTGTTCACGAAAAGGATGGAAAAATGAACGCGCGTTGCTTAGAAACGTAAATGCAGTTAAGTTCTGCCTGGATGCACCCAGCAGTTCTCAATATTCTCGATGCGAAACACGGAGCTGTTCTATGCCACTGCGAATTTCCTTCTTTTTTCCGTTTCTTCGTCAAACAAAACCCGTGCCAGGAATAACCAGCGATTAGTGGAAACACGAAAGAGACCAAGAGAAAAAGTATAGAGAAAAAGAGAAACTGAGAAAAAAGCAATTTCGAGAAATAAAAATTTTTCCACGAATTTGAAATTACGTACGTATGTACGTACTGTAGATACGTTATCGATGGTTATTCGAAGAAACGCGCGGTATCTCGTTAGATATCAGGCTGGTTCGTGAAAAGCGAAATAGGAGCGACCGGTGGAGATAAATTTGCCAAGTCGACTCGGACAGGAAAGCTATCTTAAAACAGCAAACCGCTTAAACGTGGCGTTTGAAGGTTAGCAGGCCTCCTGGCGTCGCATCACCGCCTAATAGAATGACTGGTCGTCTGACCACCATAACCTCGCCGACCCATCGACCCCCGCTATACGTTCCTGGGATAAACGCAGAGAGTAAGAGGCGGAGGTGGTGGAGGAGGAGCAGGAGGAGGAGGAGGAAGAGGAGGAGGTGGAGGAGGAGGAGGTGGAGGAGGTGGAGAAAGGTGTAGGAGGAGAAAGAGGGTGGGCAGGGTCGAGGGTGAACCCCTTATTGATTTTTAGGGTGACACTGTCAACCGGCGAGTGTTGAGACCCCCGCGACGGGAGGGACTTTGAAACGGCGAGGAGTGAGAAAAAATGTGGCGGCCGCTGCGCCATTGCACGCGCGAAAAACATCCCTTCTGGAGAATTTTTTTTTCAACGCGAACGACAACGACGACAACGACGACGACGACGACGACGACGAAGAGAACAACGAAATTCGGCCAGGGTTTCGTACGCGTGGAAAACGATCTCGGACGCTGTCCGATCGCTCCACGGTTTCCGCTAGAATCGCGAAATATTTTTTTCGTCGCGTAAAAGTGGCGAGTGCGGCGGCGGCAGCGGCAGCGGCGGCGACGGCGGCGGCGGCGGCGGTGACAGAAAAGAGTAACTGTGGCGAGGCGCAGTCCCGTTGCGGTCGGGGGTTCAGCTCTCGGCGCAGGGCCGTACGCATCCGTGGGCGACGCTCCACGTGGAACAGCTGCCTCCTCGCGTCGTCTTGCATGTTTTACACGACGTCTCCGGCTACTCGGATCGTGGTTTAGTTCTCGCGAAACGATCGTCGCGTACGTGGACAAATCTCTCGAGCGTTCTCTCTATCGCGTTTCTTCGCGTGGAAACACGTCGTCGTCCGAATTCCCTCTGTATTATTTTCTTTTTTTTTTTTTCCATCTTCGTAATCGTCCGGTGAGCCACGCCACCACACGTCGCGAGTCGTCGATGAATGAGCAGCGAGTGACGCGTGTGTTTTCCGTAATCGTCTTTCGCACTCGGCCGCACCGCGATATCCTTGCCCGATGACGTGTGTTCTTTGTGCGCCACGCTTTCTGGCTGTGCCGCACGCAAAAAGTTACGAGTAACTTTCGAGTGTTCGCGAAACGGTGCGCCAAGAGGAGGATTAAAGAAACGCAGTGGTGTTTCACCGTCGTCGCGTCGTCAGTTTCTAGTTCGCCGCAGGGGGAGAGCGTGTTCGATTGAAAATCGAAGGGAGGAAGTGTGAGAAATAACTGAGCGGGAGAGAGTAGTGGTGGTAGTGGTAGTGGTGGTGGAGGTGGTGGAGGTGGTGGTGGTGGTGGTGGTGGTGG